ATTTACAGTTCCTGAATGCCAGCATCGTGGCGTGTAGTCGATCTTCTGCGTGGCAATTGGCACTTTGCCTTCCAGAGTTCTTCGAAGAAAGGCTCGACTCCTTCACCTTCAGCGCTACCATTTTTGCCTGTGCCCAAGGCATTCAATGGCAGCTGGCCCTTTGGCAAGTGTCCCAATTGGACGAGCATGAATTTCTATTGACAGCTGCAAGCTCGACCTGTGCCACTGCATCAAGATGGCAACTTGCTCTTGATTTGGCCTTTAAAGCGATGAAATGTGAAGCTATGCCCAGTGCAGTGGCTGTGGGCGCGGCAATCAAAGCGTGCGAACGCGGTTCGCAATGGACATTGGCTCTCGCTGCCCTGCAGGAACATCCGGTTGATGTGACCATATGCAGTGCAGCTGTGAGCGCCTGTGAAAAGGCCGGGGACCCGAATGTGTCTCAAGGCAATTGAAAGACATCAGATATGATCATGAAAGTGTTATACATACAAAACATGTTTGTCAATATCAGTGATCCTAGTCAGCTGTTTGCACTTCCCCAAGCAGTCGATTGAGACCGTGTATGATCAAGCTCGTGAGGCACAGCATTGGGAACAGGCAATTTCGATCGTGGAGATGTGCATTCAGCAGCATCTTCAACCGAATTCCCTGCTTTGTGGAGCCGTGATTAGTTCCTGTGAGACCAGTTCCAATTGGCAGCTGGCGCTCCATTTGTTGACTTCAATCCGAAAAAATCATGCCTTAGAGCGGTTGGGAGACACAATGCCAGTAGCTGCAACCATTAGCTGCTGCAGCAAAGGAAGACAGTGGGAGGTGGCATTGGAAGTTCTGAGCTCTTCGAATACCAGGAGTTGTTTCAGAGCTTCTCCTTCTAGTGCGATGTCGCTGGTTTGCCTTACGGCGACCATCGAAGCATGTTCCCTTGGGAACGCTTGGAAGGCTGCAAAATCCCTCTTGGATGCCATGCCGAAAATGCCAACGGAGGACAAGTTGGCCAAGTCTTTGGCAACTCAAATGGTGTCCTTAGCCTCGGAGCAATGTGGTGTTCGATTAGCTCGATCAGCGGAATGGCCTCGAGCACACTTGAACGACCTTCGGGCAGGTCGATCCGATGTGCAGATGGACCGCTTGGCATCTCGTGTTGCTAGGCGTTTGGGCCGAGGTTTGCCCACTGTGCTGATGCAAACGGCATATGTGCGTCATATGTTGGCGGTCACCACCGCAGCGTTTTCTCGCGGTCGAATGCTTTATTCGACAGGAGTGGAACAAAAGCCGTTGGCTAAGCTTCCGGTTTCCCAAAGAATACTTTACTACAGAAACCAAATCATACGTCTCGGGCTTCTTCACGCAAGCTTTGCCCCGCCCTCAAGCGGAGGAACTGTGTTGAAGAAGCCTGAGCCCTGGCGCTAGCCTGCTTACCTCCTTAACCTACTAGCTTACCTAAGCTACGGCCTACCTCCCCGTCGAGCTCGGAAAAAAGACAAGACAACATACACACACGTTGACAATACAGACTCTTTGCAGAGGCTTCAACACTGCAATTGGGCGGCCTGTTGCAGATGAGCACTACAAGAAGTGCTTGGAGGCTGATGGCTGATAGATTCCAAAAATGGCTTGGCCATGGTTGGCGGTGTTGCACGATGTTGCACGCTAAAGCCTGACGACTTCTGCTCCGATTTTTGGGTTTGTAACTTTGCTCTGTTTGAAGGCTGGTGTGAAGATCGCGGGCATCAATGCGGAGGCCAACATCCGACAGATTAGGTTTCCGGACGAGAAGATGACAACGTGGCAGAAATCCTTTCAGAACCAGGTCATGATTGTCATGTATTATGATCGTATCATGTGCCATGTGTGCCATGTGTGCCATGTGCCTTGCTTCTCAGGTAATGCCAGGTCAATGGGAGTTCCAAGTCGGGCCTTGTCGTGGAGTTGAGATGGGCGATCACCTCACCATTGCGCGCCCTTCGCCACAAATCTGGCATGTTATGCGGTTCGTTTTGAAGGGTGCGAACAGTGTGTGTGTGTGTGTGCTGTGTGTCTTGGGATCTTTTGTTTTTGAGGCTACATCATGCTGCGCATCACGGAATCGCACAACTGCATTTGCTCTTTTTCACCCAAACCCATGGATGGAGATACTTGGATGATCGCATCCAGCTTGCGGATTTGCCCTAAATCAAAGTCGTTTGAGCCCCGTTTGAGCCCTCTTGTAGCGGTTTTTGAAGGCATGTTTCTTTGTTTTTGCCATGTCCAGAGTCCAGAGCATCAAGGATTGGAATGGAGCCGGCTGCCACACCAATTTCTCTGTAAGTCCGATGCGGAAGGAGTCCGCCTCAGCTTTTAATGAAAACGGTTCAAAGTGGCCTCCTGCAAAAAAGCTTTGTACAACAAACAGGTGCAAGTTACCTGAGCCTAGTGGCCTAGTCGCCTAGTGCAGTGACCCGGCATTGTGCTCCCATGTCGCTTCCTGCTCGAAGCTTGGGAGGACGGTGGCTATGATATCATCAACAAGGTGTGTGAGGTTTGGATGCAGCGACGCTACTAGGGGCTCCTGGCCTTACTACTAGGAGCAAGGACGCTACTGGGAGCAAAGGGCATCGCTACTTGGAACAAGGACGCTACTAGGGGTTTGGATGCAAGTTCTGAATATTTGAGTTCATCATAGTCATAGTATGTCATCGTTGATCAAACCTCGGTTTTTGCCTCCTGTGTTTGATTTCCATCTTCACGTGTCTTGACTTCCATCGTTTGGCCTTTTTTGAGTCATCCGACGTGGTCGACGCGAATGAACGGACCAGGCGTTCGGCAAGGTGGCTGCGGAACACATCGCTGAGTATGGCGAGGGAAACGAGAAGCGCCTCACAGGCAACTGAGCACAGCTCACTGTGCCGCCGCGTTTGCCTGTCAGATCCGGGCTCGATGCTCTGAGAGCTGAAATCGCCACAGGCAAACCTATTAGGAGCGATGGCCTCCAACCTAAGAGCGATGGCCTCCAACCTAGAAGCGATGGCCTCTAACCCAGAAGCGATGCCTCCAACCTAGTAGCGATGGCCTCTAGCCTAAAAGCAATGGCCTCCAACCCAAGAGCGATGGCCTCTAGCCTAGAAGCAATGGCCTCCAACCTAGGAGCGATGGCCTCCAACAACCTAAGAGCGATGGCCTCCAACCTAGGAGCGATGGCCTCCAACCCAAGAGCGATGCCCTCCAACCTAAGAGCGATGACCTCCAACCCAGGAGCGCTGGCCTCCAACCTAGAAGCGATGGCCTCCAACCTAAGAGCGATGGCCTCCAACCTAATAGCGATGGCCCTCCAACCTAGAAGCGATGGCCTCCAGCCTAGAAGCGATGGCCTCCAACCTAAGAGTGATGGCCTCCAACCTAGAAGCGATGTCCTCCAACCTAAGAGCGATGGTCTCCAACCTCATAGCGATGGTATCAATGGTATCCATACTAATAGCAACCAACCTAATAGCAATGGCCTCCAACCTAAGAGCGACGGCCTCCAACCTAAGAGCGATGGCCTCCAACCCAGTAGCGATGGCCCCCCAACCTAATAGCGATGGCCGTCAACCTAAGAGTCATGGCCTCCAACCTAGAAGCGATGGCTTCCAACCTATGGCTTCCAACCTAATAGCGATGGCCTCCAACCTAAGAGCGGTGGCCTCCAACCTAAGAGCCATGGCCTCCAACCTAGAAGCGATGGCCTCCAACCTAAAAGCGACCTAGAAGCGATGGCCTCCAACCCAAGAGCGATGGCCTCCAACCTAAGAGCGATGGCCTCCGACCTAGCGATTGCCTCCAACCTAAGAGCGACGGCCTCCAACCTAAGAGCGATGGCCTCCAACCTAGAAGGGATGTCTTCCAACCTAAGAGCGATGGCCTCCGACCTAGAAGCGATGGCCTCCAACCCAAGAGCGATGGCCTCCAACCTAAGAGCGACGGCCTCCAACCTCATAGCGATGGCCTCGGACCTAGAAGCGATGGCCTCCAACCCAGAAGCGATGGCCTCGCCAGTAGCGATGGCCTCCAACGGATGAGCGCAGGCAAACATGAGACCTGCGCCATCACCGACTTCAAGTACGGCGTGGCCAACCGAGGAGCTTCCATCCGCATTCCTCGTGAAACTGAGAAGGATGGTAAAGGCGGGCCAGGAGCTTTCTTTTCAAATCGGACACATTCTCCATCGGTATGTATATACTTCCTCTTTTTTCCTGTTTTGGAGCTGTCCTGGGGAGCCGAGCAAAGACTTGACTTTTCTCATTTTTGACAGGGTACATGGAAGATCGTCGTCCAGCTGCCAACTGCGATCCCTACAAGGCCGCTGAGATGTCTTGGCGTGGTTGTACTCCCTAATGTCGCGGTAGGTGTGTCTTGTTTTGTCCTTCCAACGTGCTCCTCAGACATGAGCTCGTGCAGCATGCTTGAGAAATATGCTGGTGTAGGTTTGCCATTTTGACTTTGTGTTTTCTAGCCGAGGTCACGGCAAGGATGATGAAGACCACAGGTGAATGTTTGGAAGCCAAACAAATATGAGGGTGTAGGGTCAGAGCAGGCCGTGCAGGATAGTTATATATACCTGGATCTTCCAACTATGCAAAATTTCAGCCTTTTGGCTGGTGTAATAGATGAAAAGGCATGATTTTTTCACAGTTGGAAGATCCAGGTATCCATTGTGCATTGCATGGGCTGAATTCCACTTGCAGGATGTTGCGTTCGTTCTTTGCGCAAAGACTAAGGCTTGGCAAAGTGATTGTTCTGCGGCGCCTGCGGCTGAAGCTGCTTCTCCAAAGCAAAACAATCAGGTTTAAGCCGTTACAAGTGAAACTGCTCGTCTCGAAAACTGGAGGAGCAGCTATTGTATATAGATCTAGGAACTTTGTGCTTATTTGAGTGGGAAAAATGGCATTCAGTCGATACATGTCGATACTATCCTGACAGATGCTGCACCAACCTTGATGGAGAGCATCATGAGCAGAGCATTGAGGTGTTTCGGCTGTGAGGCAACATTGCTTTTTATGATGCTGGGCAATCTTGGCATTGCCTTCAGCGATGTCGTGGTGGATGGGTTCCAAACTGAGTTTGAAACTCTGAACGACTCTGCAAGAACCGAGACTTTGCAAGGTTGGTGGTGGAGAAAGCCAGAGACAATCCCCAGTTGATGGGTGGCCTACAGTCCTTCAGCGCTAGACTCACTGGGCATCCATGCCGAAGGTATAGGAACAGTGTACAGCTGATGCAGTAGCTGATGCATGCGTACTACTTGCATGCTTTGATAATGGGAATACTATAATACTTGCTTCTAGCTACTAGTAGCGATGCCCTTGTTCCTAGTAGCGATGCACCTTGCTACTAGTAGCTTCTTGCTAGTGAGCACGTGGATCCAGGCTGGGCGTGCAGAGGTTGTGGTGCCATCCTCTCAGCGTGCCCACAAACGTTAAAACTACCATCCGTGGGACGGTGAGGGTGAACCTGTCCCAACGCAGAAACGCAGGTGTCCTGATGGTTTGGATTGTTTGGTGTGTCTTTTTGGCAGGTACTTCAGTGGAGCACTGTTAGAAACTATTGGAGTTTGGACCTCAGAGTGAACATGGCAGACTGGATTAGGTCGGCCAAGGCGACCACCTGCTCTAAGGTGCAGAACGTTTTTGCGCTCACAGCGACCCTTCCCTTTTTTGTGATCATCGCATCAGTGCCAACCTGATTCTGAGACTCACTGACCTTGAAATCTTACTGGTCTGTGTCTCACTGGTCTTGTTTGTCAACTGGGCGAGGTTTTGATCAAAGAATCCAAACAGGAGGTGCCGAATTATTCCTGGGATGAGGCAAGTGCGTCACACCTACTGTAGACCAAGTTGTCAAAAAGAGCAACTTGTTCAGGCCAAGCAAACCATGGAGCAAGTCTGGGAGGTCAGGAAGGGAGACTTTGGACATTTTTGGACCACTAGCGATGGCCTCCAACCTAATAGCGATGGCCTCCAACCTACTGTAATAGCGATGGCCTCCAACCTAATAGCGATGGCCTCCAACCTAATA